TTGCGTTCATGACCAGTCGACCTAGCGTGTCCCAGCTTGACCATATCTCAACTGTCGAGATAGGCACGAACCTTGCGCTCATGACCGGTCGACCTAGCGTGTCCCAGCTTGGCCATATCTCGACGCCTTCTTTAGTCTCACAAAACGAGACTTTATCCCCCTCAAAACTCAGTGCTAGCTCATCACACTCACCACTACACACGTACCTTCCGGTCATTAATAATAGATCGAACTGTTCTTCCTCGCAATGTATCAGAGTCAACTTGTTTGAGCTCTGAGTTGATATCGTAAAGAATTATTTTAAGAGTTACATATTGCGAAACATTTTCCCAGTAGTAGTTGACAACGTTTTCACATGTCCATTCAAGAACATTTGTTTTGCCAAAGAAATCCTTAAGTGACATGTCTTCTTAAAAAACGTCTTTCTATAGTCCGTTATTTACACTTACGTCATCACAATCAACCAATCAACAGTTAAATAATAACCGCGCATAAAATTACATCAAGCGTGTAATTTGAGCATCTCGATTATCTCGTTGATTTGTAATATTATCTAAATCCTGGTCTTTCCTTTGATAATTAGCCCGAATAGTGTTTAAAGTGCTATACATACCTTGAACAATATTGGATGGATTGTTTAATAGTATACCATATCCCCTAAAATTATTTTTGACTCTCTTATGATATTTATAAAGTGATCTACAGTAGCCATCATCTAATTCATAATTTTTTTTTTAAAAACACTGGCTCAGCCTTACTTTATTTGAAATGTGGTAGATAAGTACATGTGATACTATAGCTACCTATGCCTACCAAATATAGTTCAATAAAGAAGTAGTCTTGCAACTGTACTTACCTTGTGACTTGTTATCACCTTATTTTAGAGGATGCTAACCTGCCAAGGTTGGGCTAGTGCTGTATGAAAATTTCAAGATGGTAAAAGGTGTTATGTTTTGGATAGTTTTGTTCATATATTTGTTGACCAAATGTATGAATTGGTTTTTAATATGGCTTTCTCTTTCTTTGAGCTATGATTCAATTTCATGTTTGATATATATATTTATATTTTTTCTTCATATTTCTAATGATATTTTGTTGTGCTTTTCAGAGTTGAAATTCTTTGCATCATTTTTTTCATAGTCCTTGAAGGTATTTTGTGATATTTTTTTTGATATTTATATAGCAGTCATATTTAAGTCATTTTACTAGGATTATCTCTCAAATAATTTGAATTATTTTCTTGATAAAAGCTTTTCTAATTGCATATTTCAAATATCTCTCATAGTAAAGTATCATTTTTTCCTTCAGTTTGTTTATCCATTTTAAGGTATTGTTTTTAATTGAGTGTCTTGTAATGTTTATAATAATGCTATTAATTATATATTGTTTTATCATTATTTTATATGTAGTGCAGATGAAGGGATATATATTTGTCTCACTTTCTTCACAATTGTTGCACAAATTATCTTTGTAGATTGAGAGTGTTCTGTGATGCAGCTTGGTTTTTGTGGGAATTCTTAATTTTATAAGCTTAACAAAAATTTTCTTTATTGTAAATCCTTCTAATTCATTATATAATTACTCATTTTAATAATCTGAAAATATTTGATACTAGTTGAAATTATGTCATTCAGCAGCTGAATTATTGTCAAATTTGATTAAATTTAATAATAAAAATATTATCAAATTCTTT